TTACAGTTAATTTTCAAAACTTTTTTAATTAATTGATACAACAAACAGATATAAAATTCCTATAAGTAATTTAATTTTTTTCATTTTTTTATTTTTTTTTTAACCACCTCAAACCTTTAAATTTAATTTTCACTTCTATTAAATTTCAGTGAGCAATTTAATTATGAAACATTAAAATTCCTATATAAATTTAATTAAATTTGAGTAAATAAAAATCCTGTTATTGATTTAATTTTGTATCAGTTAAATGATTATAATTAATTAAATTTACTGTATTAATTATCTTGAGCCTTGTACTCTTTGACATACTCAAAATGCTTGAAACTAATTTTATTTTAGAAACTAGTCATCACTTCAATTTTAGAAAGCCATCCCTAATGATTATATACAGTTTTATTACATGAAGTATTATATTAAAATGAGAGAGAGAATTTGTTACAATTTCTCTTGTAAAATTCTTGTAGATTTTTCTCATATATATATATTTTTATACATATATTTTCTTCTTACGCCATCACTTTTTATTCAAAACATATACATATTTAACATTTCACCGGGAAGCATTCTGTTTCGGCATTGACATGAGGGTAAATTTCTTTATCTTCTTATTGTTCTGATAAAACTCATGATTGTAGCATCCTGTTTTTTTTTTTCCTTTCTTTTCCTTTGTTTTTTGAGTTATATTTATCTTGGCATCAGTACTTCTTTGATGATTTACAAATAGAACGTTCTAGGGTCAAGTATCTGGTGCTGAATGTATTTTTATGTAAGGGGGAGGAAGAAAACTAAACATTAAATTAATCCAAACCACAAATCAAAATGTAACTGTAAATTTCACTAAAAGATTAATATAATTTACTATGCACTTTGTATGCTTTGCTTATTTAATGTTTAATGCTTGTTTTTGCTATATAAAGTGATTTAAACCATTAAAGTTTAAACATAAACACTGTTGAATCATTGCATAAACATCAATGTATTTTTATAACTATGTTATGCTGCTTAAAATGGATTTCTTTAAGAGAATTTTTTTTTAAAAATAAAGTATGAAATCTCAATTATTCTATATTATGTTACTTATTTCAGATACTATAAATTAAATTATTTTAATTTTATGTACTGTATGTGAATATTCAAAAATTTAATTTATATTCCTTTTTAATTTATTATATATATATATATAGGTTAATGGTCTCATCAGTGCAACAAACTTGGCGCACTTTACTCATGTATGATACCTATTCACATTCTTCTTTTCAGTTGGAGATTTTATTAACTACACTGGAATAGAAGGTCAAAAAGTGTTATTACCATGTGACATTACTCCATTTTCCGGCGATGACATAGTGATGCTTATATTATGGTACAAGGATGACAACACTATTGTGTACAGCATCGACTCAAGGCACAGTCCTTTGTCAGAAGCAAGTCACGTAGCAAGAGAATCTTTGGCTGGCAGGTCTTATTTCACTACTTTGCACAGACCACCCTACCTTGCTATAGATAATTTAAAAGTAGAAGATGAAGGAATGTACAGGTGCAGAGTGGATTTTGTCAAATCTCAAACAAGAAATTTCTATTTTTATCTAAACATCGTTGGTAAATAAATATCTTAATAGTAAGCCATTTAAGTAATATATATATATATATATATTTAGAATGTATGCTTTAAAAAAACACATAAAAAATACATTCAGTAAGCTATAAAATAATATTTATTTCTCATTAAAACAGGATTTCTGCAGAAATTATTAAAGTGGAGTCTTGTATAAGTTACTGTATAATAATTATTACAAACAATAAAAAGATTTTGTTTTGGATTAATGTTATGTAATAAAAACAAGAATAAATATAAGAATTTCTATTTAAACAATAAAAATAAATCAAACAAACACCAATTATCTTCTTTTATTTTTTAAAAAGTAAGAAGACAATCAATTTGTGATTCTGTAATATAATCTGTGGCTGGTTTATAAGTAAGAAAATTATATATATTTATATATATACAAATAAAAATTCTTATATTTTGTAAAATTAGAATATTTTTATTGGAAAATATTATTAGTATTTTTAACATTCATAAATATTCTTATCTGCTGAATTTTGTAGCAAAATTGTATCTTACAAGCTAAATATTTTTTTATATAATTAAATTTAAATAAATAAATAACTTTTTTTTAATTTTTATACATTTGATTAAAATATCCATTATTTTTTTTTAAAGCAAATATACTTAAATAAACCTGTATAAAGATAAAGAAGTAATAATGATAATAATAATAATAATAATAATGCATACATTAATTAATATTAAACTAAATTTTATCTGTTTATTAAGTTTATAAAGAGTTAATTATCTATTTATTATTTTATATAAATCATTTATAAAAGTAAATTAGTTCTAAATGTAATAATTTGTTTTCTAGTTCCTGCAAGTAAACCAATTATCAAAGATCTCAGGGGAGAGGTGCTTAATAATATCATTGGGCCTTTTCCAGAGGGTTTTCATTTAATTTTAATTTGTGAAGTGGATAAAGGTGCGTAATTTTTTAATGGAAATCATGTTTTTTTCCATTTTCCTTCTGTCCTTTTTTGCTTATTTTAATATTGATGAGGTTTATTTTCATTCCAGGCAGGCCCGTTCCGAGTGTAACCTGGTGGAATGGTTCTCATTTAATTGATAGTACTTACACGATGACTTCGAATAATATTCTTCGTAATGAACTAATAGTTGGAGAATTGAAGAGAAATCATCTAATGAGGTCATTTACTTGTCAAGCATCAAATTCTAACATTACTCTTCCTGCTTCCACTACTGTGATATTGAATGTGACTCGTAAGTGTTTCTTGATATCCTAAATGTCCATTGCTTAAAACAAGCCAGAGTTTATTATTTCGAGCTGTTGAATTAATCGTTTGATGAAAGCGAAATGCATTCATCTTATCAGAACTTTCTTCTGTTTTATATATATGTAAATTCAGATGGATACACAGCAATTAGCCAATTTCACTCCCCCCTCCCCTTCTGAGGATTTTATGGAGTACAGATGGATAAAATCTTTGTAATGAATCTTTAGATGGAGGGGTGTAGGACTCTTAGGTTTCCTTTCTGTACCCTTTCTAAAGATTTCTGGACGATTACACCACCTTCTGATGGTTTTCTTGAGTATATTTGGGTAAAAAGTCTTGTGAGGAATCTTTAGAGGGGGTGCAGAAATCCTTTTTTCTTTTTTTCTATACCTTTTCTAAAGATTTCTGGACACGTTATTGGCTACATTTAACACAAACGTTGCCTGTTTTCTGTCTCGGAGCGTTACTTTTGTTTACTCTGCAGTAAATTTCTAATATTTGAACAGGTAAAAGCAGATATATAATTGAATACTTAGCAATTTTATGTGTCAATTACTTAAAAGAATGTACATAAATTTCTATTATTTATTTATTTTTTTTTCTGATAAAGAAATGTTATTTTGTAAATGGATAACAAGGGAATATTTTGAAATGAAAAATACATTATTCTAATTTAATTTAAATTTTATAACGTGTCGTTATATTATATAATTTAAATAAATATATTATAATATATAAGTTTATAATTGTTTACTGAATTGACATATATTTATATATATATCTACATGTCTTTCTATTAAATATTTAAAAATATTTTTGAATAAATTATATAAAATAACTTTTTTATTTCTATGGCAACTTATAATAAATTCATGAATTATTTAATAATTTTTATGTATAAAATTAAATTCATTATTTAAGTTATTCTCTCTTTAAATATATGCCATAATTAAAGCATCTCATATTCAATGCTGTCTACAGATATATTTTAACAGTCAAACATATTAGTACCGAAACCAGCCATTACGGCACTTTTGGCGCTGAAAGTCGTGAGATCTTCATCTACGTAATTTATGATTGTGGGGGAAAGTGTGTGATTCATTGTGGGCATGCTCCAATTTGTCAACCTTAAAACACAGAATCACACTGCACGTGAGAAGCATCATAAAGGATCGGCCATTGAAAACAGTGTTCATCACTTTTCATGTGTTACATTGAGCAGGATGCAGGGGATGATTTTCATCCTGCATCCTGCTCAATCTACATCCTGATTCAGGGGATGTTTTTCAATTGAATCTATATTCTGTCTTGTACAAGTAAAACTTTTCAACATTAGTTAGAGTTCTGGATTCAATGGATCTTTGTGGGTTTTCATAGATAGTTGGGGGGTAGGAAATTGTTTCCTTGTTCTTATCCACGCTAGACGATCCTATTAACAATTGACATCTACTTTTTTTTGACAAATTACACGCAAAACAGTTACATTAAACATTTTATATATTAATACACAATGCTACAACTTTATACTGTATATAATATGATCTTCATTACCTACCTATAAGTAAACCATGAAAATATAGAATAAATTATAATTTATATTTATAAATTAGATTATAGGATACATAAAAATATCAAATAAATAAACAAATAATCTTGAATTTATGAAGTCGGGTCTTATATTTCAGTATATTTTCTGAATTTTATAAGTACAGTATTGAGTTTATATTGCCTGTATTTTGAAACAGTAGCTATCTTGATAATCGGAGATTTAATATCTATGTTTATATCTTTTTTTTTATTTACATTTAATCAAGAAATCACTCTCTTCTTATCTTATAGGCTTACTAGAATTTCCAGTAATGTATATATAGTACAGTAGACCACCCCTATAACACGGTAGATTATTTCGTGTTATATGAATTCCGTGTTGTACGAGTCACTTAGATTTTACAAATACGTGAGCCGTTTACAGCCTGGCACAGGTATTTGTAAAATCTAAGTGACTCGTACAACACGGAATTCATATAAAACGAAATAATCAACAGTGTTATAGGGGGGTCGACTTGTAATCAACAGTGTTATAGGGGGTCCGACTGTAATAATTGTTTAGAAAACATCTCATATATTTCATAACTAAAAATATAAATTTACATCATTAAAAACTATTATCTACTTTCTAAGAATATATTGTTTTAGAAAGAAAGAAAGAAAAAAAAAATCTAATTTTAAAATAATAAGAATCTTGTAATGCGATTCCTGGTTCTTTTTTAAATAATAAAAAAAAAAGGAAAATCTTATTTATATATAAATATATTCTTACGAATAAATATAAAAATTGAAAATAAAAAAAACTTTTTTTTTTTTTTCTTCTAAATTTTTATATCATCGTATAATAATTGGAAACAAAATTGAGATAACATAATAGCATCTTGTAAAAAATATAAGATAAGTTTTGATTGTATACGATTTTTAGTTGCAATTTAAAGTTTTATCTCAACTTTTCCATCAATGGATAGCAATGTATTGTAAGCAATGGCATTATTGATCTGCTTTTTTGTTGTGCCTGTGGGGGTTTAATTTTCTGTTGTGAAGCTAAACACAGGTTGCGAAAGAACAGAATGCAATTGCTCGTCTTCAACAGGACATTGCGAATTTCTAAAGTGTGCCTTTTATTAAAAAAAAAAAAAGGGGGAACAACATCTTAAAACATTTGTAAGATTAAAGAACGTTCCTTCTTCTTTTTCTTTATATATATATATATTTCTTTT